TGCCTCCCCCTTTCTCATTGCCCTTCCTCAGCCTTATCACCCAGAAGCCATAGTTGGGGGATAAATAGACCACCTCCTTCCGGTCGACATCTTCCTTACACACTCCCAGGCCCCATTCAGACCTGTCTCCCACCTCCACCTCCCAGTAGTGCCGGCCTGAGGAGATGTACTGGCTGCCCAGGACGATGTTATAGCGGTAGAATCTCTCAGGATTGTCGGGCAGTTTCTGGTTGGTGTCTCCATAGCGCACACACTTTCTGTCTTCAGACACGATGAGGCGGGAATAAGCAGTGTCTGGATCAAGGCGCACATCAGCTAGGGAAAAAGATCCTGGTTGGCAATGCTGGAACAGAGTGAGGGGCCATGGGCGAGGTCTCCCTGATAAATACAGCCAGGGGTTTCTCAGTGATGCGTGGGAGTGGGGCTAGTTGAGGCATCCAGAGGACACTGAATGGTTTTATTTTTCTGGGCGGGCCCCTCCCACTGCCCATCACAACCTCCACCAGCACTTATTACCTGCATACGTCTTCAGGATCTCTCTCAGGCCCGGCACCCGACAATCTGTCTTCAGTTCCAGGGAGACTGGTTCTGGCCGCTGGAAGCTCCAAGACTTGCTCCTAATAAAGGAGGGGTAAGCCTTGGGTCAAGGAGCCATAGCTCGGCCACATGGACCTTCCCGTAGTACAGGGAAGAGGGGCTGGCAGGGAGGTGCCATTCCCCGGCATCAACAAGCAAAGCTGTGATGCTTATTCGACTGAGAGGAAGGTTTGTGGCACAGACAGAACATTCACCTGATATGGGGAGAACTGTGAGGAGAGGCCCTGAGAGAGAGGCCCTGCTGTCAGATGCTGGCCGAGAATGTGACAGGAAGGTAACATGGGCAATATTCTCAACTTGCCTTCCTCGTCCCTGAGAAAGGAACACAAGTATGGGATGGATCTGAGATCCTCACAACAACCCTGTGAGGTAGGAGAGTATACAGCCACTCCACCCATTTTTCCAGAGGCTGAAAAATCTTTCAATTGGGTGGGAAGTTTCAGACCCAAATGTAATGAATGACATGCAGACACGTGACCTGAGAAGCGAGTCTTGCTGATTTTGTTTCATTCGAATGTGAGAAATACGTTATAATCTCTACAATCTTCTTTCAACAGCTCTGTGAGAAATAACTTGCTCTATTAAGGCCATCTCAGTTTTCTCATCCATAAAGTAAAAATAAAAATAGGGCTCACAAGTTTTCTGGTCCTGTCACTCAAAGAAGGGCAGGGCCAGGACACAGGTCTCCCTGTGTCTGAGACAGTGGTGTGCCCAGCTCGTGCTGAGGGATGGCCACGGGAGTGGTCTGGATAATCTGCAATGAATGCCTCTAGTTTGCAGGTCAGAGAGCAGGGCTCAAACATTTGCTCAACGGCAGCAAACCTAAGGTGAGGCCTCCCCCGCCTGGCCTCAGCAGAGCAGCCAACTCTGGATGTGAGCAGGATTCTTTGCCAACAGGTTTCCAGAAGGTTGGATCTACTTCGTAACTTAGTTATGGCACCAACAGGGACTGAAAGAGAGGGGCCTGAGCTACAGAA